ACCCCAATAATCGCAAATCGACTCACCAAGCAAAGAAACATACCTGAACTTCATCATCCTTTCGAATGGGCATAGACCGAACATTATACTTCTGTCTCAGTTCTTTGGAAAGAGGGGAAGACATGATCTTCCTCCGAATGTGAGAAGGTGCATTGAAATGCCGTTTGCGGTTCTTGCTTCGGTCAGAAGTCACGAAGGGATTGAATTTCATTTTGGCTAAAAACAACAACAAAAGACCCTTTAACGCTCCAACTATCAACCAGTTCTCCAAATAGCATCAATTCCACTTCGAAAGCTCACAACGTTCACTGGAAGATGTCATGCTCAGTTACTCCATCAGACCTTCCTATCTCTGAAAAGTTTTTTGCGGTTTTTCAAGGTGGAGACTCTGCCATTAGTAACAGCCGTCTTACTTTTAAGCTTGACTTTACAACTTAAGCACCCCATGATGGTCCTATATAGCGTCGGGTTTTACCTTCTCATTTACAAACTCCGGTGTTCTGCATTTTGCTCCTTACTTGAGCATGGAAACTAAGGCGGGATCTCCAAACCCTTCCAACTGGCGAGAGGGCTAACCACACAAACGATTCGAGGCTATTAATTACATCTGCAGAGGCCCCCGCCGGCCTTCGAATCCACAAATCTGTTCCCTACACCTCTCCAGTCCCGCGGTCCCTGGCTAGGAAAGACACGGATCTAGCCCATCCCAGCACGGCTCCCTGGCTGATGCCGAGCCATCAAGACTGTTTCGGGGCCTCGGGACAGAAAGTCTCATTGCCTCGCCGCGGATGGCTGCGGATTCCCCGAGACAACCTGCCTTTCGAAAACTCACCGGCTGCGATCCACCGATGGCCGCAAAAGGAAAGAGATCTACACACGACTTCCGGTTCTGTAAGTTGCCGCGAGATCTCGCGAGAGTCTCGGAGCGAAAGGGGAGAGGAGGTTGAGCGAGAAGAAACTAGGCATGGAAGGTTAGCGACATCTAGCGGCTCGGAGGGGAACTGTGAAGGGGTCCTGACGTCATCCCTTGGAAGTGTGAGTGCTTGGCTTAATCCTTTGGGAAAGGCAGTGCTGCTCTGGGGATGAAGAGCGTTGCTTAGGGACCGTAGGCCGGCATGATGGAGAAGTGAGAGGACCTGGGGGACTTCACCCTTCCATTCCCGGGCTCCAGGCGTAGCGCCTTTAAAACTATAAACCCCTCGGTTCCAGATCTGATGGAGGCAGAACAAGGGGGTCCGCTTCCCTGCAAATGAGTTCTGACGTATCGGTTTCTGTCGAATGAATAATACAGACGTCATGCTAACAGGAGACACGTATTTCGTAAGACACAGGGAACCTCCTGAGTCCTCGGCACAGCACACTCTTCTACACCCTTTTACATGGCTAACGTCTTTAGGCTGATGCAGGTGAACTGTCCGCCGTGGATAACTGAGCCACGAAGCAGTGACAGGAAGGTGCAAGGGAACACAGGACTTATGACTTTTAGTGGAGTCTAGAACCCATGAGGCTGGCTCTCTAGGCATCCGTGGAAACGATATGGCTCGGTTTGTAGGACCTACTGTCAAGTTGAAGAGCGAGAAACCATACCTTTGAGGGTTCAAAATCGAGTCATCTGTATTCATGATTTTAAAATAGTGTGCTGTCAAATATTAAAAGAAAGCGCCCCAATTTTATATGTCATTGAAAATTTGAAAGCTGGGCATGCCGGTACACACCTTTAATTCCAACACTTGGGAGGCAGAGGAAGGGGGATCTCTGAGTTTGAGACCAATCTGGTCTACAGAATGAGTTTCGGGACAGTCAGGAATATACAGAGAAACCCTGTCTTGAAAAACAAGAACAAAAACAAAACAAAAAAAATGAAAGAAAAGAAAAAATGAACAAAATCTGCAGTAATTCTATTCAACAAATGCTTATGGTACATCCTTCATGGGCTAGCTTAGAGCACTGGAGGGACAAAATAATTCCAGGTTTGTGCTTGCAGGAAGTCATGGTCTAAGAGGGGGCATAGGCATAGGAAACAGCAAGTTTCAGGTCACAGGAAACTTGAGCCAGCTGCCTTTAGCTTTGGGATCAGGGAGCTTTGTGCGGTGAGGTCACCCTTGACTAAGTTTTGAAGAATTTTGTTTTTTGTTGTTTTTTGTTTTTGTTTTGTTTTTTGTTTGGTTTTTCGAGACAGGTTTTCTCTGTGTAGCTCTGGCTGTCCTGAACTCACTCTGTAGACCAGGCTGGCCTCGAACTCAGAAATCCACCTGCCTCTGCCTCCCAAGTGCTGGGATTAAAGGTTTGCACCACCACTGCCCCGCTTGAAGAATGTTAAAATTAGCTCCCGGAGGCAGCAGGGTAACTTGAGGGAGGACTGGAGGTGAGAGGCAAATGTCATTTTCCAGGAACTAGGCTCTGTGCCATTCAGAGGGAAGCCCAGAGGTCACAGGGCTGTAGCGAGCTGCCCACAGCTCCTACCTCCCACGATCCCGCCTTCCTCGCCTTCTTCCCTCTTTTCTGACCCAGAGGTCACAGGTTCATAGCGAGCTGCCCACAGCTCCTGCCTTCCTCCCTCCTTTCCAACTCACCAGCTTGTTTTCAGGAAAAACGTTTTGTAGTTTCCTTAACAATCTCTCCTCTCCCAGGACTCCCCACCTTCTCTGGGGACACCCTGCCCTGGCTTGTGCCTCCTTGGTTGCCCCAGTCTGGAGATTCTGAATCATCAGAATGAAACCTGTAGGTCAGGGTTTGGACAACACCGCCACTTCATACAGCGATAAGATTACACAGCGATACAAATTGCCCGTAGTCTAGTTAAGGTCTGCTTATCTCTCCAGTGTCTGTTGGGTGTCTGTCTCATGTCCTTCTTCTCTACCTTCTAACTTGACTGAAAAAGATTCTTTATTTATTTTAGTTTTCCAAGACAGGGTTTCTATGTGTAGCTCTGTCTGTCCTGGAACTCACTCTATAGACCAGGCTGGCCACAGAGACCTGCCTGCCTCTACCTCCCAAGAGTTGGTTTTGGCCGGGCGGTGGTGGTGCACGCCTTTAGTTCCAGCACTTGGGAAGGAGGCAGAGGCAGGCAGATTTCTGAGTTCGAGGCCAGCCTGATCTACAGAGTGAGTTCCAGGACAGCCATGGCTACACAGAGAAACCCTGTCTCAAAAACAAAAATTATGTGAATAGGTGTTTTGCCTGTACACTTATGTGTCTATGTAACACATACATTCCTGGTGCCTGAGGAGAACAGAAGAGGGTGTTAGATACCCTGGGACTGGAGTTCCAGATAGTTGTGCGTCACCTCATGGGTGCTGGAAGTTGAACCTGGGTTTTCTAGTAGAGTCGTCAGTGCTCTTAACCACTGTGTCCTCTCTAGCTCCATTTTAAAATCTCATTATTTTATGTGTATGAATGTTTTGCCCGGATACATTCGGTGTATACCACACTGCATGCCTAGTGCCCCTAGAGGCCAGAAGAGGGCATCACACCTTAGAGATGATTGTGAGCCACCTTGTGGGTGCAGGCTAGTCTTATGTCAACTTCATACACAACCTAGAGCTATCTGAAAGGAGGGAGCCTTAATTGAGAAAAATACCTTTCTTAACTAGTGATCAATGCCCAGCCCATTGCAGGCTGTGCCATCCCTGGGCTGGTGGTCCTGGGCTTATAAAAAAGCAGGCTGAGCAAGCCAGGGGAAGCAAACCAGTGAGCAGTGCCCCTCCATGGTCTCTGCATCAATTCCTGCCTCCAGGTTCCTTCCCTGCTTGAGTTCCTGTCCTGACTTCCTCTGATGCTGAACAGCAAGGTGGAAGCTGAATAAACCTTTCTCCCCCACTTGCTTGTTGGTCATGCTGTTTCATTGAAGCAATAGAAACCCTAACAAGGATAAATATTAAGCTCCATCTCTCCAGCCGTAAGTCTTCTCCAGGTGGATTCCCATCTGGGCAAGAATTGTATACACTAAAACTTTTTCCTTTTTACACAGCAATACAACAAATTGCCAGTGGTCTAGCTATAGTCCGCTTACCTCACCAGTGTCTGTTGGGTGTGAGCCCAGGGTCTGTCCTGCTAAGCACTTTCTCTACCACTGAGCTATCCTCCCAGCCCTCTATTTAGGTTTTGAATAAACATTTGCTTGACTTAAAAGTTCAAAAACATAAAAGACAAAGTGAAGTCTTCCATCCCATCAATTTCTCTGTCCTTTCCACGGTCAAATCTGTTAGTAGGGTGTTTTGTTGTTGTTGTTATTTTTTTCTATTTTCCCCAGCTAATGCACATATAAGCAAATAGGAAAATACTTATTCCTCTTTCCACAGAAATCATAGTGTCCAGAACCCGGTGTTCTGTGCCTGGCTCATTCCATTTGTTGCTACATCGTTTAGTCCTCTTTGGGACCGAAGGCCCTGGATCTCAAGGTTAATAGCCAGTTGTTTGTTGATTACCACTTAGGGGCTTTCTTATCCTTTGTTATTACAAATAGGGCCACAATTATATAATATTGTGTGTATGTCACCAGCCATCTAGACAGCTGTACCAAGGAGACACATTTCTAGAACACAAACTGCTGGGCCAACATGGGAACATTGAGAGATAATGTGTCCAGCTTCATTGGACAGCTTTTACAAATATGCATTTCTAGCCAGGCGGAGGGGGCACACATTTTTAATCCCAGCACTTGGGAGGGAGAGACGGGTGGATCTTTGAAAATTCAAGGTCGGCCTGGTTTAGAGTGAGTTCCAGGACAGCCAGCTACATGGAGAAATCCTGTCTCAAAAAAACCCAAAAACCAAACCAACCAAACAACAATAACAAAATAAAAAAAATATGCATTTCACTAACAATTCACCTGCCACCCCAGCCTCACAAGTAGAACAGGATTTAATAAGCTAACAGGTAATCGATGCCAGTGGTTTTGATTTATAGTTCTTTTACAAATGCGCCTCAGGGTCTTAAGGACTTTGGGATTTTTAGGAGTCTACATTGCCAAGGTCTCTGGACTCTGAGAAAATATCTACTTTTATTTTAAAAATGGCTTCCCACCTTTATTTGAAAACGAAAGAAGTAGCCTCTACAAGTTGCAGCCGAACAACATGAAAACGTCACAGGTATTTTGGAAGAGCCTCGGCAAACACTGCAGGATTTGGAAGGCTTTGAATCAGTTCCCTAGAATCTCGTGGCCAAGGTGGACACAGACTCACAAGTCTGCAAGGTTCCTTTTGTTTCTATAATAAATATCGCCCCACCCTCCGGCCCAGTACCTGTGTTCTCTAGTCTTAAAAGAAGTATAAACCACTGGTGGACACCTGAAAGCAACAGCTACTTTGTCACAAACATCCCTTGTTGAGTGAGGCTCTTTCTGATGGTCCCCAGATGTCAACCACGGCAGACATCGGAGAAGTAGCTAAGAGGGATAGCATTATTTCCTTCTACACAGGTAGTGAACTCCTGTGGATGTTGTGGATGGGCTCAACTAGTGGCACACCCTGGATGCCAAACCTCTCCTCTCTGAGACAGTAGCTGGAAGTCGCTGTTGTTTTCAGTGACAAGGGATTAGCTTCCTTGAGGACTTCCTCAAGAGAGACCCACTCGGAGGCTTTCCTTATAGGCGTCATCAGTGAGGTACCCAACCACTCCAGGGTGCAGTGCCCAGCTCTCAGCATCTGTTGAGACAGCTGACAAGCTCAGCTGCTTTCTTCCCCACCCTTCCTCACCCAGCTCAGCCCTAGAGCATCCACCTGGGAAACTGGCCCAGCTGGTGTGGCGTCTAATGAATGGTTGGCTCATGAGGGGGTGGACTGGCAGGGAGGAAGGTGGGAGCCCCCAGGGGTTAACTTGCTCACCCAGCTCTCAGCTGACTCAAGTCTCACCTGGAGGGCGTCCCCTCCACCCCTTGTCTTCTAGTTCACCCTTGAGAACTCTAAGACTGGAAGTCAGGTCTGCTCCTTGGGCCTGGCAGTTTACAGAACCCTCTGAGGCTGTGCCTAGTCTGTCAACAGCAGCCTCTTTCACGGAGTGTTTCCTATTGACCACCACCTGGAAAACCTTTTCTCGGTTGCCCCACTTCCCACCCCCTATCCTGGGCTACAGCTTCTGAGATCATCATCTTCCTCTTTCAAGATGATGGGTTGGAGACAGGACCACTTAGCAGTGGGCGGCTTGAGGTTCTTATGTGAGGCTAAGATGCTGGAGAACTGGAGCTAGGACCCTAGCTGGGCCTGTAGACGATCCTCTGTGGGAGGGAATTCTGATCTGGAACAGGCCTTCCACTGGGCTCTCACCTGGTAGGACACCGGCCAGCAAAACTACCTAGGTCTACCTGGCTTCAGGTTTGTTACTTGGCTGGTAAGGTTTATGACCCTGTAGGAGAGCAGTGGCCACCCAGCTTCTAGCTTGCTAAGTTCCAGCCTAGAGAAGGGGTGTTTGTTGGGGATACTTATGGGGCCACAAATGGGGAGTTGGCCATTCAGTGTTAGCCTCAGGGTATCTCTGTCCCAAGCCTCTCCTCATGCCAAAGCCCTCACTGACAAGGCATGAAAGGTGGAGACAAAGCCCTTATCCTTCCAATATGCCCCCACCTGTGTCCTCTCTGAGTCCGGGACCTCCCTCTGCAACTTGATTGTACCAGGTCTACACTAGGACCCTCTGCCCTCTCCCAAGCCGTGGCCAGCACAGCTTAGATACTGGGCCTTGCTCCCCTGTCCTCTGCCTGCCGCCACTCAGGCCTGCTTCCTCACCAGCAGCACCCAGGGCAGGATGGCAGCTACCACAGCCACCACAGCAATGAGGGTGATGAGCAGGAGGGCCCGAGACCGGCAGCAGAAAGAACGGGTGGCGCTGGGAGCCGGGGATGCCTCAGATATCTCTGCCAGGCTACGTCGGGGCAGCACACTGTCCTGTTCCCCCAACGGCATCCCGTGGCGACTGATGATGAAAATCTGTGACTCTCGGGGCAGGGTGGGCAGGAGGTCCAAGGGGAGCTGAGGCCCCTGGCTTGGCGATTGTCTCCAGACCTGGTGGGACATAACCAGGGGGTTTGTGTGGCCTCCACGGTCTGGTGAGGGCACGGAGGGCAGGCCCACAGGCACAGCCAGGGTCTGCGAGCTCTTGTCCAGCATGGAGGGCCAGCGGGAGCTCTTCTTGCTGAGGAAGGTGACATAGCGGCAGATGGGGCAGACGATAGTCCTCTGCACCTGTCCATCCACGCGGGTAGAGAGCAGGTACTTGACCAAGCAGTCATGGCAGAACACATGGCCGCAGCTCAGTGTCCGGCTGGCGCCCTCCAGATCCCGGAACTTCTCGTAGCACACAGGGCACTCGCTGCCCGAGCTGTCCTTGCTTCCCCCTTCTGACATGGCCCCTCAGAGATAACAGGCCTCAGCTGGGGGATGTAAGAGTGAAGGGTTGTGAGCATCTGGGAATTTTTCCACTTTTTCCTCCCGCTTCCTGACCCCCACTCGCATCCTGTCTCCACCTCTTCCCCTTTGTTTCTGCTTCTCCTCAGAGGCCTACCTGGATCAAACTAAGATGTAGCGCCTAGGAGACACAGAGGAGTTTTACAGGCTCTCCTGGGGCCGGCACCAGGAAACAGGTAGGAAGTGCGTGGAGTAGGATGGATACCTGAAATACCCGATGTCTCACCACAACTATGACAAGCACTGTTGATGTCACCAGCTCACCTCTTCCTGCTTCAGTGCTGGACCTGGCTCCCAGGGCAAATGGGGCCTATGGAGCTCCATGGCCAGGTGCATAGGCTGTTCTAGTCAGTTTGGCTCTACACTATGAACTACATGTACTATTCTTCAGACTTCCCTGTCAGCCGGGCTTCGCTGATCTGTGGATCCCATGTCTCTTATCACCACTTCCAAGACTGGCAGTCATAACTATAAAGCAATTGAAAAAAAAAACCCAAAGCTCAAAACATACACACGCAAGTACGGCTGGGCTTCGAGGAGTCACATACCAGCCATGTTCAGTCATTCGTCAGAGGCTCCCTCTGTGGAGGCTCGAGGCTGTCAGAAGGTTCTGATTAACCTTGATAAAAGTAGATTTTCATTCTTGGAGGATGTGTCTGGTATTTTGGAAATGGGCAAAGTCACCGAGATCCGAGCCTGGTGAGAAGGCAAACGAGGGGTCAGAGTCATTGTATTGTTTGAAGTCTAAGCTACTGAGTCTCTGAAGCATGCGCGGTGGGTTTCAAACTGATCTGAGAGGAAATGGGAGAGCCGATGGTTCTCTCAGCAGGACTGTGAGTGACTTGGAAGAGGAGCAGCTGCTTGCATGGGTGGTGGGTCCAAGTACTTGCGTATACATGTCTCCAGAATCACAACTCTGGAGCCTAAACTTATCCCGAGACTCCTATAATTGATATATGGTGCCCTCAGTGACAGAGAGCAATGACCCCAAGATCCACTGAGGACAGACGGTATGGCTGCCCTGAGTGCTAACAGGTGCACAGTAGGAACGGGATTAGCTAGCTGGAGGAAGATTCTATAAAGATCATGAATCTTCTGGAACCACTCCCATCCCCCTCCATTTGCTTAGTTGAAAATCCCTGTTGTTGGGTTGAAAATGTCCTAATTCTTACAAAAAAAAAAAAAAAGAGTGGGTGCGGTGGGGGTGGGTGGGATGGTGTTGGGACCATAGAAGCAGTCCAAAATTGTTGTGGAGGTTTCTCTGGTCTCTGAGGTGACTAATGTGGCCTCTGAGCTGGGAAATAGAGTCAAGTACTCAGATGGTAGAACTGGGTTGAATTCCTTATCTATCTGTGACTATCGATTATGACCCTTGCCACCTGTTAACCTTGGTGAAGTCGGCTAGCCTTCTGAGGTTGAGAGCTGGGCACGGTGGTCTAGCCTGTGACACAATGAGTTTAAGGACAGTCAGGGTTACATAGTGAGACCCTGTCTCAAGAAAACAAGGCAAAGCAAAAAGATGCAGCTGACAACAGCACCACCTTCCTCCCAGAATGGGTGGTGGCGTTAGTGAGTGAAGAGTATGTCAGGCAGGAGGTGCTCAGTAACAAAGGAAAGAGTCACTGTTAAGACAGGCTAAGCCCTCTCTTTTCTCCTGGAGGAGACCTGGAGATCCCTGTTGGGCATCTTGTCTATAGAGTCACAGCCCTTAACAAAGGGCAGTTCTCCTCAAATTAGAATAAACCAACAGAACTACAGTAGACTAGGTAAGTGGTGGCACTAGATAAAGCAGGACAGCTGCCAAGTTCTCAGATTTGTTTCCTAATAGACATCCAAAGAGGCCTGAATGAGTGGGTTGCTATCAGGATGATTTTTCTGAAGAAGAAAAAAAAAGATAACAAACAACCAAACTGTTCTTCTGCATTGTGTAACTCTCCAAGAAATACAGGAGCAATCCCCACCATCCATCTGCCCACCCATTGGATTTAACAGCTATTTGCCATGTTCCTGGTATTTGCCAAATACTGAGGTTGTACTCTAGGGATAAAAAGTAGTCATGAAGTCCTTCATGAAGCCTAAAGGACACTTGTGACTTGTTTTTCCTATTTCTTGGAGACAGGTCCTCATGTAACCCAGGTTGGTCCAGAACTGGGCTATATAGCTAAGATAGACTTGAACACTTAGCCTTCCTGCCTCTATTCACCACATGCTGTGGTTACAGGCGTGAACCACCGTGTTTGGCTATAAGGTTTTGTTTGTTTATTTTTTGTTTTAATAGATTTTTTTTTTTTAAAAAAAGGACTGGTTGATGGTCAGTGCCGTAAGTTGTTTGGATAACTGAGAAGCGAGGTTCCAGACAGGGAAGAGAGCAAATGTGAATCAAAGAGGAAGACAGGATTTCAGTATCAGTCAGAATGTCTAGTTTTATAAACTAATATACTCAGCATTGGAGATGGGCGAGGGGTGTGTGTGTGTGACTCAAGGTCACCTGGTGGTGATGAAAAGAGAGGAGACAGAGTCCATGGGTGATGCAGAGAACATTAGACCTGTTGATAACTGGCTGAGTAGATGCAAGTCAGAAGTCATGCTAAGGCTGACCAGAGGAGGAGCAGCTTTTTTTTTTTTTTCCTTCTTTGCGTTCTAGGAAAAGTCAAAAGGCAGTTCAGGGAGTGTCAGAGACATCCTGGGTTACTCACCAGGACCTTTCAGTTTCATGCACCCCAGGAGAGCCACACAATTCATGCTTGGGCAATGCACACACCACACACACACATACACCCCAGACACACACCTTCTCAACTTCATTTCCCAGTGTGTTTTTGACCCCTCCTTTCTCTCCCTGGGGAACCTAACCTGACTCTGTCTTGGGATCTGGGGTGTGGGAGCATAGCACACAAAATACTAGGGGTGTGCTGTAGTTAGGGCACAGTCTGGGTGAGTGACACTGTAAGGCATTCTGTACCAAAGACATCCACGTTGGTGCTTTTAGGAAACTGGGGAAGAGGAGGACTGGGAAGTCTTCCTAGCTCAAGTGAGACCAGTGTTGAGCTAATAATAAATAATTATAACAGCGGCCATTTATTGAACACTAATTACGTGTTTGGCACTTGGAATCCCTTCCTCACCTAATCCTGACAACAAGTTTGGGGAGGTAGGTATTATCGCCATTTTACAGCCGAGGGACCCAAGACTTCAAGTAAAGAACTTCATCAAAGTCACAATGCTAGTATAGGGAAGACCTGGGACTTGAATTCAGGACAGCCTCCCTTGACAGCCCATATGATGTATTGTCATCTCTACTGGGGTTCAGAAGGGCCCCCACGGAGGACGGTTCAGACTTTAGGGAGAGGAGTGAATGATACATCCCCAGCAGAAAGGGGATACACCAGTTTCTGGAGTGCCCCTAAACAGGATTCTCCCTCTGGCCACTTGTGAAGTGAGAAGGCAGTGGTTAGCTGAATGGAGCCAGTCTCACGAAGCCCCTTTACCCAGGATTCTCTACAGGAGCATCCTATCTCCAGGACAGAGATGAGGAACAGGTGTCACCCACCCAAAGGACCCCACATCCCATGAGACAGAATGCTACGTCTAGACACCTCGAGTTTCCTCCCAGAGACCTAGTGCAAGCCTGGAGTTCCCTCCCAGAGACCTAGTGCAAGCCTGGAGTTCCCTCCCAGAGACCTAGTGCAAGCCAGGCGGTTTCAGCCACGGCTGCTTCCCCACCCATCAGCAACACGAACATTTGCTGTCTTTCTCCTTCTGCTCACACATTATTCCAGCTCCAGTTCACAGCATTCTCAGAAGCCATCCTCCACCCCAGCCAGCACCCCTCCCCCAACACGCACACTTTGGCTGTACCTGAGAGAGTAGTGTCGGTCTTTCTACCCAAGTCCTTCACAGATGGGAGCCACCCACCTGGGCTGACAGCTGCTGTCACTGTGCCGGCTGTGGAGGCATTTCTTAATGACTGAGCAGGTCGGGAGGACAGCGCAGGGAAGTGAATGCTGCCCAACCCGTTTTAGGCCAGGAGGCTCTCCGGTGCTGCCCAGGGGTTGGGCAGCTGCTGGAGTCAGGTGATCCCAGTGAGGATGCTAGCTGAGGAGCCCGGGGCTGAATCAGAGGGTCTCACTATAGAAGCAGTAACTCAGGGTTCCTTTGGCCAAGAAGGCTTCCCTGGTCATGGATTTCCCATCCAACCATGGGAAAACTATACATAGGGATCCCTCTCTTTGACCACATGAAGAGTAAACGGGTCAATAGGTCAGAGCCTAAGTGGGCTGTGACACTCCAAGTCCCACATTAAGTTTGGTGTGATGTACCAATGTGCAACTGTTTTTCATTAAACAGAGGGGCTTAGTGCGCCAATAGACCAACCGCTACCAGTACAAACATGCATAAGTTGGTTTGGGGAATAACTTTGAATGATCTGAAGTACATTTGGACAACTATGATCGACAAGATTAATTATATATTTCAAAATAGTTTGTACAGTACAGGATTTTGAATATTCTCAACACAGAGAAATGTTTTATCAGTTATATCTGAGTTTATGGATATGCCAGTCACTCTGATCCAATCATTAAAGACTGTATACATGTGTTGAAATGCCATGCTCCGTATTCTACCCCTTACATATGTACAATTGGAAATTTAAAAATTATTAAAATAATATTGAGGGGCCCGGGATGTAAATCAGTAGGTTAAGTGCTTGCTCAGCACGCATAAAGCCCCGGGTTTATTCCCAGCTCTGTATAAACCAGGTGTGGTAGCATCTGCCTGTAATCCCTGCACTCAGAAGGTAGAGACAGAAGGATCAGAAGCTCAGGATCAGCCAGGGAGAGGTGTGCACACCTTTAATCCCAGCACACCAGAGGCAGAGGCAGGCTGGTCCCAGGACAGTCAGGGGTACACCAGAGAAATCCTGTCTGGGGGTGACGGGACAAGTTCAAGACCATCCCCAGTTACACAAGGCCAGTCTGAGCTACATGAGACTCTGTCTCAAAAAAAAAAAAGTTGGTTTTTTGGGTTTTTTTGTTTGTTTGTTTGTTTTTTGTAAAGTTGAGGCAGAGACTCAAGCCTCAGAGCACTGGTTGCTCTTGCAGAGGACCTGGTTTGATTCTCAGCACCGCATGGTGGCTCACAACTATCCATCCTGGATACTATCTAGTTCCAGGAAATGTGATGCCTTCTTCTGACCTTGGTCGACACCAAACATGTACATGGTGCACATATGTACATATAGGCCAAACATACATATGTAAAATAAAATGACTAAAGACAGAAAAAAAATCAAAAATAGCGATATATACGTACCCAGAAGTCACTGACTGTGGGACAGAGGTTCAAGTGTCAGAGCTGTCTGAGGAATGGTGTTAATACATGACAAGGTTTATGGGAAGAGACCTGAAGGGAGACACATCAAACCACTATTAGGAGTCAGTTTTCAAGGGAATTAAAAAAAAAAAAAAACCCGAGAATGTCTGTCTGTCTTTCTTTCTCTCTCTTTCTCTCTTTCTCTCTCTCTCTTTCTTTCTTTCTTTCTTTCTTTCTTTCTTTCTTTCTTTCTTTCTTTCCTTCTTTCTTTCTGATTTTGGGAGGGCAGTTAAGTGCCACAGAGCACTCTTGTGTGCTCTGACGCCTGGAGCCCAGAGGACACAGGTCATCAGGCTCGGTGGGTGGCCTGATGTGCTTTTATCTGCTGAGCCAGTTCACTGGTTCTCTCTTTTAAAATTATTATTATTATTATTAGCTGGTGTCTGTGTGTGTTGTGACTGGAGTAGGGGCATGTGCGGCACGGCTTGTGTGTGGTGGTCAGAGGAGAGCTTTATGGGGCCCGGGGATGGAATGCAGGTGTGCGCTTGTGTGGCAAACATCTTTCCTCACAAACCCAGCTTGCCAGCACATGAACACATTTCTTTTGTGATTATAAACAACCAAGAATAAGGGAGAATCCAAGGTGAGGGAACTGGAAAATGTTTTGGGGTACATTCCTTCTCAGTTTTCAGGAGGTTCCCCCAAAGCCATTTTTTTTTTCCTGGAAGAAAAAGAGAAAAGGTTACTAGTTACAAAGCATACTATGTGTGGCTCGTAGTGTGACCATTCTGCCCTGTCAACCATGGTCCTGTCTCCAGGGACATTTTGCACTCAGAGGATGACATTCCAGGGATGTCATCCAGCCACTTCAGCCAGGGATACATGTCTAGACAGGTAAACTGTCAAGGCAGTCTCTCATGCTCTTTTTCTGGGAGTTCCAGGTGCCCCAGATTTAGTAAAATAAAATCACAATATAACTAGATAAATCTGGCTTTCAGATAGACACCAAATGATTTTTGTCATTATCTGTCTGCCTGGGACACACCTATATTCGAAAAAAAGTATATCCATCCATCCATCCATCCATCCATCCATCCATCCATAATCTGGAACCCAAATTTAGGCACTTACTTGAGAAGCTGATGCAGAAGGGTCATAAATTCCAGGCCAACCTAAGCAATTTAAGTGAGAACTTGTTTCAAGGTAAAAGGTTTATTTAACATGTGTGAAGTTCTCCGTTCAAAGCCTGGTGCCACCATAAAAAACTAGTATGATAAAATTGCCAAGTTCTCAGATCCTTCTTCAGTGTGGCTTTTAACTCTCCCTAGGGATTTCTGGGCGTTCCTAAAAAGTATCAGTCCCCACTGTGTCTCTCAGGGAGGGGACTGAGTCAAGACTAGGTGATCCCTGGATTTTGATTTTTAGAATGATTAGAAGTTCCTAAATATGTTTTATATCTTCCCACATGGCCTTCTATGAAGCTTGATTTTAAAGATGACCCTTCAGAGATAGCTATTACCATACTTCATCATAGCGTCCTTCATGTGTCCTTACTAGTAGTGACTAAAGGGAAAAAGGCCATTGTTCTTTTGGGGAACAGACTTAATCTGTCAGTGCCTTGGTGCTTCACTCATAAAAAAAATAGAGATAATGGTGCCTACTCTATAGGACTGTTGGAGCTATAAGGCGGATGATGCATGTCATCTGCCTGAAACAGGTTTGTGTGAGGGTCCCCGTTGGTGTCACCGACATCCTCATCACATGACAAAAAGGGAATCGAGGAGGACGTGAATACTTCCCAGCTCCAGCATCTGGGTCTGCTCTTGATTGGTTCAAACACTAACATTATCCTCAGCAGCCTGAATTTCTAGCTCCAGAGGGATGGAACAGGCATTCCTGCTCTGGACAGCCATGCTGGAGAGTTGTCTTCCTTTCTGGAGCCACATTGGCTGTGTTATTCCAGGGTCTCTGAGGCACTGATCTGTTCTGGAGAAGAGGTTGCCTACCAGTGGGTGGGTCTGGAGCCTTCATTCCCTCCTTGGAGATAAGACCTTCCTTAGAAGCAGGGTGTGAAGCTACCTGTAGCCCTAGGACTCAGGTGGGTACAGGAGGATCACAAGTTTGGGGCCAGACTAGGCTACATAAGACCCTGACAGAAGCAAACAACAAACACCTTTCTTTGGGAGACATGTTTGTGAAGGTAAAAGACTTCCAGGCTGAGGAAGAATCCTAGACAAACTGGCTGGCCACTTGCTAACTACAGGTACAATGTCTGCATGAGATGAACATCTAGACAAGGGACAGAAGTTCCCAAGTGTCAAAATCCCCTGGAAATCTGATTAAGAAAACAAAGCTTCAGGCCCTGGTGAAGGACTTAGCAGATATTAGGAAAAGCCCAAGAAGCTATATTCTATATTTATCTTTAAATATTGGAAGGATTGGTGGACAGATTTGTGATATGTAAAAAAAAAAAAAAAAAAAAAAAAAAAAATAGTGTGTGGGGGCTGGAGAGATGGCTCAGCGGTTAAGAGCACTGACTGCTCTTCCAGAGGTCATGAGTTCAAATCCCAGCAACCACATGGTGGCTCACAACCATCCGTAATGAGACTGGATACCCTCTTCTGGTGTGTCTGAAGACAGCTACAGTATATTCATAAATAAAATAAATAAATAAATCTTTAAAAAAAAAAAAAAAGTGTGTACTAATGGTCAAGTCCAGGCCTGGCTTATCTGAGAATTTCAAACTCGATGTACTAAGGTTTTCAAAATAGATATTGACAAAAGAACACATCAGAGGATTCAAAGTGAGGAATATAAGATGGTAGCTAGCTGGGCGGTGGTGGCGCACACCTTTAATCCCAGCACTTGGGAGGCAGAGGCAGGCGGATTTCTGAGTTTGAGAGTTCGAGGCTAGCCTGGTCTACAGAGTGAGTTCCAGGACAGCCAGGGCTACACAGAGAAATCCTGTCTTGAAAAAAACAAAACAAACAAACAAAAAAATATGGTAGCTAGAGGGTCCTTTCCCAGTCCCCCGTGTAGCTACTGCCTTGCCATCCCTTCATACACATTCGTAGGTTTGCATATAAACCTTAGAAAATAACAAGTGTTAGCGAGCTGTGTGTGTCCTCCCAGAGGCAATGTAAAATTATGTGGTGTCTGTGGAAAGCCATGTAGTGATTCCTCAAACACTAAAACATAGAATTATCTAGCAAGTCCACTCCTGGGGATACAGTCAAAAGGTTGATGGTGCTGGAGTGGTAGCTTAGTTGGTTAGGAGTGAGTGCCTGCTGTGCAAGAGGCCCTGGGTTCAGTCCTTGACAGTGCTTGAAACCAGGTATGTTGGCACACGTCTGTAACCCCAGCCCTCGGTGGTGGGAGCAAAAGGTCATGGTCACCTGAGCTCCTCCAAGCACAGTGGCCCAGTGGCAGAACAAGGAATGGTTTTTATCCTCTATTTACCTCTCCTGGGTCCTGAGCCCACTTAGCCCAACCTGACAGCAAAATACAGTAACCAAAACAATTCTGTTCTCCTCGGAGTGGCTTCTGTCAGGCACTCTGTCTGAAGTTTCAGTTGTTGGGGTTTTAATAATTGAGGCCCGCTGGTGACACATGTCTTGATCTGTGAGTTCACGGCCAGCCTGGTCTACAGAGTAAGCT